CCACACATACATACCCCCCCCCCACACACACACGCATTCTCTTTCTCAATCTCGTAGGGAGAACAAACATGTTTTGAAAAGTGATCCCCCTCACCGAATGACGACGCAAAACAAAAAATGGCGCATGTGATACGGAATGTGTAGCGTCTGCTGCTATGACTGCCCTCTGCGTGGTGTGTGGGCGCCCGAAAACTCCCGCAGTACAGAGTTATAATAATAGGAGATTTCCGTTGGGCTATCTTTTTCTCACGGATAATCACGCAAAAATTCCGTTCCGTTCCGTTGCTTTCCCCTGCAGTCTGTTGTGGTGTAATTCGCGGGCTAAATGGCCCTGCACTCGTGAGACACAGGCATCTGTGGTGTAGAGGTCAGGCGCTTCGCTGTCGCATTTTTATCGAATATCTCATCTTTCTGCTATGACGTTGTATCCATGTCAGCCTGGATTTGGCCTGACGAGGCAAGTTCGAAGCCCGCATCCTAAATGATCAAAATTGTTTCGATAGGGGTGTAAAAAAAAAGAAAAAGTTAAGTGGTAAAGGTTTAACGCCCCTATCAGTACTACTATGTTATTTAAGAGGCGGGACCTCCGAGTTTAAAATCCATCTCCGGAAGGACTGAGCCAAATGGGAAATTCGTGTAAAGTGCCTTTCCCAAGGATACGACGTCGGATCGAGCTGATGTTTGTACCTCCCAACCTGTAAACTTACGATTATAAGTTCAGTTGCCTAACCACTAGATCTAGGCCGCCGGCGCCACTAAACAAAACAAATCAAACAAAACGAACAACAACTGCTTAAATAAAAGAAATACACATGACATGAGCTCAGTTTTCATGCAGTCAGAGTTAACACGTCTTTATGTCTTCAATTGTGATGTTTAGCAATTATTTCCGACCCTGACCCGCCTGACCCTTACCTTCTGAATGTTTAGATCGTATCGATAGAATGTAATGCATAATACTTTGCCGTTACAAGTGACATGGGTATACCACAAGGTCCTTTTGCCGCTAAGGCAACCGATCTGATTTCCTTTGGTCAACATTTTAAAGTGTATTGACCTTTTTGTGAAGCAGATTCGTTTTGTTGAGCATAATAATAAACAAGACTCCCCAGCCTCCACACCGCCCAAATAAGAAAGCAAACCATAAGTAATTACGGCAACTAAAAATAAAAACAACTCAGAAACCCAACAACATTTAAGAGGCAAAAAAACAACCAACAACACATGCATATGCGCAGTGGTCTTGTGTACCCTCATATAATCTGGCCGTATAGTAAACATGGCGCTAAAGCGCCTCCCTCCGCCCCCCC